GTGATCTCAGCTCACTGCAACCTCCGCCTCCCAGGTTCAAGCAATTCTCCTGCCTTGGCCTCCTGAATAGCTGGGATTACAGGCGACCACCACCACGCCCAGCTAATTTTTGTACTTTTAGTAGAGACCAGGTTTCACCATGTTGCCGAGGCTAATTTAGAACTCTTGACCTCAGGTGATCCACCCACCTCAGCCTCCCAAATTACTGACATTACAGGCGTGAGCCACTGTGTCCAGACTTTTTTGTATTTTTTTGTAGAGATGGGGTTTACCACGTTGCCCAGGGTGGTCTCAAACTCCCAAATCCACCCACCTCGGCCTCCTGAAGTGCTGGGATTATAGGAATGAGCCACTGCACTTGGCTCAATACTGTTTCCTTAGTCAGGATTTCTAGAAATGGTATTACTAGGTCAGAGTATTAAAACGTTTGTAACTCTTGTTGCATATTGCCAAATTTCCAAATTCCTTTCTAGAAGGTTGTGCCAACTTCCCCTTCCACCATCTATGTATGAGTGTATCATCTCCATTACTATAATATTTTTTAAAATAGTTTGCTAATCCAGCAAGCCTAAATACATGTTCATTTCTTTAATTGTTAGCAAGAAACGTACAAGACCTACATGAAGAAAACTGTTAATAGGATATAAGACAAAATGAATAAATGGAGAAGCATACCTTCTATTTGGAGAGAGAAATTGTAAAGATGTCAGTTTCCTCTAAATAGATCTGTAAGGTCATTGAAATCCCAGGAAATATCCATGTAAGATTTCTACAAATGGTATTATAATAACTGGCTAGTCATTGAGACACACAATTTAAAAAAATAAAGAATGAGATGCTTGGTTTTTTTTAGAGACAGGGTTTTGCCATGTTTCCCAGGGTGGTCTCGAACTCTTGAATTCAAGCAATCCATCCACCTTGACCTCCCAAAGTGTTAGAATTACAGGTGTGAGCCACTGAACCTGGCCCCACTCATTATTCCAATATAAAAACTAAATGACTTAAAATTTTTATCGTAAAAAATTAAACTATAAAATACAGAAAACATGAATAATTTTTTTTTTTTTTTTTTTTTTTTTTGAGACAGAGTCTTGCTCTGTCGCCCAAGGCTGGAGTGCAATGGTGCGATCTCTGCTCACTGCAACCTCCACCTCCTTGGTTCAAAGCAATTCCTCCTGTCAGCTTCCGCAGCTGGTGATTACAAGCGCTACACCACGTGTGCCCAGCCTAATTTTTGTATTTTTAGTGGAGATGGGGTTTTGCCATGTAGCCAGGCTGGTTATTGTGAACTCGGACTCAGATGATCACGCCCCTTGGCTCCAGGAGTGCTGGGAGTTGCAACGTGAGCACGCTACCCACCCGGCTATGCGGAATATAGAATATTTTAATAATTATGGAGTGGGGCAATCCCTTTGCTAAGCATGAGATTGAAGCCGAAGGACCATATATTATAAATACTTTAGAGTTTATCCACATAAAATTTTAGAACTGTTGATTGGCACAGAAGATCACACAAATGCACGAACATTTGACACTAATATCCTGAACATTACAAAGAAGCTTTAACAAATCAATATAACAATATGATAAGAACTAAAGGAAAAGGGCAAAGGATAATAAACAATAATCCACAGAAGAAAATTGAGAATTATGACTTGCAAAAAAGACGATCAACATCGCTAATAATAGAAATAAATGCAAACTCAAACTAAGCATAAAGTATCAACCATATCCATCTCACGCCTGCGGAGATTGACTGGTAACAAGTATAGGGAAACAGGTTAATACTATTTGTAGGAGTGAACATTCATACTTTTTTGTTTTGTTTTGTTTTTTTGAGACCACAAGTGTCACTCTACCTTGCCAGGCTGGAGTGCAGAGGTGGTGATCTTCGGCTCACTGCAACATTTGCCTCCTTGGGTTCAAGTGATTCTCCTGCTCAGCTCCGAGTAGCTGGGATTGACAGGCTGCACCACCACATCCCAGTTAATTTTGTATTTTTAGTAGAGACAGCGGTTCCACCATGTTGGGCCATGTCTGGTCTCCAACTCCTGACCTCAGTGATCTGCCCACCTTGCGCTTCCCAAAGCGCTGGGATCACGGCGTCAGCCCACTGTGCTGGCCACAATTTTTGATACATAGTATATTAACAATAGTGTGTCTTTAGGTTCAGATGATGGGGAAATTTCCAATTTCCAATAAGATAAAATGTTTGCTTTTGTTTCAATTCTTTACAATAATCATTGACCTGGAACGAGATACATTTTTTTTCTTTTTTTTTTTTTTTTTTGTAATTAAAAGTAAGGATTGGCAAAGTGAAGCTGAAAAAATGACAATTCTCAGCATCCCTTTCACTCCTTTCCAGCTAATTCAGGAAGTGGAACAGGATTCCCCAAGTTGATTTCCAAGAATCCACACAGTGAAGTGAAACCACTACAGGCTGAAAGAAATCTGTAGGATGATTCGACAGAGACAGGACCCAGCAGGAAGTAAAGAGGAGACATATTTTCCAACCAATTCGGGAACAAATGGAAATAATTACCTGGCCACTTGCTGCCCATCATTGTTCACCTTCCTTTCAATGTTGGCTAAAATTCCTGAAAAAAAAAAATTCCATTCTTAATACATAAGAGCGTCGGGGGACTGTTTTGAGTTTCAAGTCTAATGGAAAACTGCTGGTTTAAGTGTATGCGGCAATAAAACCCAGACAGATGAAGGGCTACAACTAAGGTGAGACTGCAGGCGGTAAAGCTGTTATGAGGAAGTGTCTGCTCTGTACCTCAGATTAACACCCCAGATTGGATTTTTTAACGAGTGAACACAAAAGTCCTTACCGCCCATGTTTTCCAAGTAAAGATGAATGTTCTCAATGACTTAAAAAATATCGCCAGGCCACCACTGGGTGGTTATTACCCAACAACACTAGCTACACAAAAGATGCCAATTCCCACATTTTAACTGTATTTTCCATTCAGATGTTTGAATCTTTATCAATGAGCTTGAAAAAAATGAACAGAATGATGGGGGGGGGGCTTTATGGGTTATTTTACCTGGGCAAAAAAATGACTGAAGGATTAGTCGCTTGCGCTTTTCTTTTGATTTCCTCTCCCTGAGTTGTTTGATGAGTATAGTAAGTTTGAGGTCAACTGGAGATTACTACATTAAAAGAATAACAGGTAAATGGAGGCCGGAAAAGCTGATTTTAGTCTTAGCATCTTCCTCTATCCAAATTATTTGCCAGTAGTGAAAGAGACAAATTTGGGTTTGGCTTCTTTTTTCTTTATGAGACGAGGTCTTACTCCGTTATCTAGGCTGGAGTGCAGTGGCACGATCTCGGCTCGCTGCAACCTCTGCCTCCCAGGCTCAAGTGATCTTTCTGCCTCATCCTCCTGAGTAGCTGGGACGATAGGCATGTGCCTCCACGCCCAGCTAATTTTTTTTTGTATTTTTAGTAGAGATAGGGTTTTGCCATGTTGCCCAGGCTTTATTTTTTATTTTTTTCTTTTAAGGTTTTTCTTTCTTTCTTTCTTTTTCTTTCTTTCTTTCTTTTTCTTTTTCTTTTTCTCTGGAAGTAATTCTGTTGAGCAGTGAAAGGCAACTTGTGCAGAGCAGATAGGAGATGGTTGGGACAAAGGAACCGAAGTGATCCCTCACTAAGCTACTTAGACCTTTGCCTGCAAAAGATGAACGTGCATGAATCCCATCACTGATACTGGCTGGGAGAAACAGGGAAAGTGACATGCTTTAAGTCAGTTGGATATTTTAAAAGATGAACTACTTCCAAATAGCATGTAACACAGCATTAGTGTTTTGAGGGGGGAAATA